GACCCCTGCTGGGACTTTCGCACTCTTGGCGGAGGTGTCCCACGGACATGTGCCCGTCGGCGGGCACACTCGCTGCAGCTACTGCTGCGCCTCCGCGCTCCGCCGACCCTTGTCCGTTTACTTTTCGCCTCTGTCCCTTTACCTGGTCGGTCCTCAGCTGGCGCTGTGCCCACTTCTTTTCCCATCCTTCTCTAGGTCCCCCACTTCTGCGCCGCAGTGTGACTTTTGAAACCTGGAACTCTAGGGGAAACCTAAAACGAGCGTCTTGTCCGTGAGGATAAGTGCCTTCAGAGAAGTCAGAATGGGCTTTTCTCCCTGCAGTGTATTTCTCAAGATTCCATCCCCATTCATAGTCTGAAGTTGCTCAGAGTAAGATTGTGAAACTGATGTCACTCTCTAGGAATAAACCCACTCCTGAATTTCGTGCATATCAAGGCTTATCCGAATTAGCTAGATTGACAGTGGCACTGATTTCTATGGCACAGAAGCGTTCCATCCAACCCTCTTCTCTCTCTCTGCCCGTCTCTCTCTCCGGCATCATAATTAGGTAATAGTCGAAGGTAAAACTTGAGTCTCTGGAGGTTTTTCTTTTCACATCTTTCTTTATATTCTTTAGCTTTTTACAGAAATGTAGCAAAAATACTTGGCATTGCTGCTGCTGCTAAGATACACTAAAGCCACGTATGGAGTGAGGTCAAGTGAGGGTGGTGCAAATCTAAGTGTCCTGTTTTTATAGAAGAAGGATAAAGGGGTGACTAGATTGAAAGTTGATTTCTTTGATGTTCTTTAAAACCGGTAGATTTTTATCGCAAGTTCTGGTCTTTGTAAACACGTAGGCAAAAACAGTGGACAAGAAAGAGTGAATGTGGAAAAAGAATTCTCTCTACAGGGCCTGCTTCAAACAATGCACAAGGAAAGGGATGAGAGGGGCTTTTTAAAAAAAAATTAACTACTGGGAAGATTTAACAAAATAACTCTACAACATATTAAAATGGTCTTTAAAATATTGAAAGAGTAGGCTGCATGTCATTGTGTTTTAATGATTATGAATATATATAGAACTAAAAATTGTGATGTCACAAAATAAATACTGTTGAGAATAGCCTGATATACAAAGCAGTGTAAAATAATTTTGCTTTGTTTTTGCAGTAGCAATTTAGTTTTAAACATTTTCAACAAGGATTTACCTTGTAAGCATTGAAAAATCATTTGTGCCTATTTGAGTCTTAAAATGTTGTCTTTGTATTTTTGATGATAATGAAAGTAAGATAGTGGAAGACATGGAGATTGTTTTCAATACATGGACGATTGATGAAATTATAGTGATTACTTTTTTCTTTCATAATAATGTCCTAAAGTAACAATGTTTAATGACTCTATTTAACATCTACACAGTTGTACTGTGCCAAGACGGCATTTTAGAATCTTTAATGTCTTAATTATTTTTCTTTTGCTTCTAATAACTAATATTTCCTAAATAAAGAAACAAATGCAAAATTGAAGGCATTTAACAATAAATTTCTCTTGTCCAAAACTAACCTATTTTTGCATGAAGTTTGATATTAAAGGAAAAAGTTATTGAGACTTGAAGACTTTAATATATGTCTCTGTCTTATCAGGGTGTCTATTTTTGGACTAGTTAATAGTTAAAATATATTATGCCAGTATATATAAAATACATATTAAAATATGTATATCTTGATATATCAAGAAGGAGCTAAGGCTTTCCAATACAATAGTTAGTATTAAAGAAGCTGATTGGATGCATGATCTTTTTTCTTTTATTGCACTAGAGAGGGTGGTATTGTATTTTTACAGTTATATAAATCTAAAGGGAGGCTTACCCATCTCGTTGAAATGTCAAGGCATTGTATAAACATTTTAACTCAGTATACTATCTAATAAGTAGGTCTGCCAACTTTGGTTCACAAAGAAAGGATTTATTGCAAAGGTAAAACATTCTTTAAGGAAAAGTTTTGTGTAATACCAAATAAAGTGTATAGTACATGTATGTGGCCCTCAGTATGTTTCATTGCTTAAACAAGTAACTAAGGAGTTCTCAAGTCCACAAATGTTAAATAGATGTTATTGTTTTAGTATTTTGAGTCTTGATTAAAAACCAGTTAATGTATATTATCATTTCAAGTCCTGAAACTTAAGGTATCTCATTGTTTTATTATTGATCTTGTTTTGTTCTAAGTATCCACACTTAAACTTTTAAGTAAATGGAATGACAGAGGCCAGATTGCATTCCCATATTCACCTTTTGACATATACTAAAACTACAGTTGTTTCATGTATTTCAACTTGATCAGTGATATTGCAGTATTTCCATATTAGTGTTCTGAGCTTTTTAAGTTGTGCTTTTTAAGTTGAGCTTTTTAAGTTGTGCTTTTTAAGTTGTGCTAATATAAAAATAGTCTCTATTTGAGTCCTGTTTATGTGCTCTTAGTTATCATTTAATTCTCACAACAACCCTATGAGATAGTATATAGTAGGGTTAAAAGCTTTGAACACCGTTTGATCCTGGGTTTGAATCCCAGTTTTGCTGTTTACTATCTTTGGAACTTTAGATAAGTTATTTGATGTGTTTTAGTTGCCTCATCTGTAAATTGAGAAAAATACGTAGCAATCTACCTCAGAAAAGAACTGAGACAAAGAGTTTAAGTAACTCAAGATCACACAGATTTCCATGATTTGGGATTAGAACTTAGACAGTTTTTTTTAACTACTTGCTCTTTTCAGTGCTGTTGGTGACCCAGTTGATACAACCAATGGCTTATTGGTTTTTATTTTTCTTGATTCCTGTAGCAATTGATAATATTTTTCCTTTTCTATTTATTAAAACTCTTTACTGGTTTCCACATCACTGGCACCTTGATTCACCTTGTACCCCTAGTGACAGCTAAGCTTTATTTCATTTTTTCTTTCTTTGTGTCCATTCTCTAAATGTTGTTTTTTGACTCCCTTACCCTTACCTCTGAACTTCCCATAGTACCTGAAGTTTAGGATATAATTTCCAAAATCTCTAAGCTAGACTTCTCTCTTGAGTTCTCAATTCTTGGTTTCAACTTGAATGCCTTGTAGGAATCTTGAAAATCAATCACTATTGATCCTTAAGTATTGTAGTATTGTGATTTGAATATATCACATCTGATTAAAGTATTTTTTCTACTAATGTGGCTGAAGAAAAAACCAGTTCTAAGAATGGGGGAAATGTTGGCTGCCTGTTTCTTGTTCACTTGTGCTTACGTTAATAAGTTCTGCAGTTTATTTCTGTGGAAGAATCTTTTAAAGTGATTGTTTTATTAGAGTTAGATTACCTAAAACTAGATACTATCCTTAAATCCATTCACTTAAGCTGTAATACCTTGTAATATACTGAAAGAGAATTGGAGAGTGAGAATACAATCTTTGGTAAAGTATATGGTGCATGAGAGCTGACATACAGAATGAGTGAGGATGCCAGTGTCAATTTATATATTTATATATTGAATATATATAAATCTTAATTTCTTATTTCTTTAGATTAAAAATATAAATAGAATTTCAGATGTTTTTCCCCTGTATCCTAGTGATCATTTTATGAACCTTCTGGGATAGGCATAATCAATTTTGAATATTAGTGGTCTGCTTTATAGGATAAAAGTTAAACTGCTCAGTGTGGTATACAGATCCCTACAAATTTTTGTTTTAACTTATGTTTCCACCTACTTTGCACTTAGTGATCACTTGCCTTTTCCTAGCACATCTTACAGCTTCATTGAGCTATTCATATCTCCTTATCTTTGTTTACATTGCTCTATTAGACTGAAATATCTTCCTTCCCTTTTCATGACAAAATTATACCTATCCTCAGGAACCAGCATACACATCTCTTTTGGTGAGCTTCTCCTGAGAAGGTAGTCAGTATAGTGGCTAATGGTATAGGCTATAGTTTCTGACTAATGGAGATATCTGACTGAATTTTTAATGGAAAGCTCTCTTGCTGTAGACAAACTACTGAACTTTGATGTGTTTTATTTTCCTATCTGCAAAATAGAGATACTAGCACTATTGAGTTGTTGGGAAGATTATTTCAATGAAATTATGCATGTGAAATACCTGGCACACAATGAGTTCTTTATAAATGACACTGATTAATGCTAAGATGTATTTAAAAAATATTTTAATCTTGGAATCAAGACGTATATTTAAAGTGTCATTTATATCACTTCCACAAAGGTATTACTAAATGATAGTGCACTTTTATTGTTGATGAGATCTTTGAATTAAGGAAATATCTTGGTGGCTAACTTTCTTGTGCTCTTAGCATTTGTACTTACTTGTTTTAGGATTTTTTTATTTTATACAGTTTTTTTATCTTATCTATTTCTTTCTTCTTGTGAGCTTCTCGGTTAAGAATCTCCTTTGTACTTGCAATGTATAAACATATCACCTGGCATATAGTAGATTGTCAATAGATGTTGATTGAAAGAGTTTCATTAATTTTTTTCCTGCTAATATGCTATTTATTTGACACCTTTTAACATTCAAATATAGAGTCATTAGATTTGCATTTTGGTTTTTCTCAAGTCTACACCAATTTTTGGGGTAGTTTAACATGGTTAGTATTTAAAGTATAAAATAATTCTTGAACTTAAAAGTTAAATACAAATGGAGATTCTGCTTTTATTTTGCAAGAACGTTTACTGAAGATGACCTTAGAGGAGAGACGCAAAGAATACATAAGAGACTATGTTCCCCTGAACACCATCCTGTCATGGAAGGAGGAGGTGAAGGGCAAGAGCCAAAATGATGGTAAGTTTCTCAGAATATTTTTCAGGTAGATACTATTGCCATTTTTTTATGACTTATGCAAGACAAAAATTAATAACTGGTAGTCAATAATGACATGACAGTTTTGGTATTTGAAATAATTGGTTGTTTAATTGTTTTTAGCAGTCTACTATGTATTATTTAAACTTAGAAAATTATATTAACATAAGTCATGTTCTTAAATACACCACATTTATATTATGGTACTCTTTTACTAGGTACTTTTTAAAAACTACTTTGCAGTAGTTATTGAAGCAAATGATATTAGGAATTGCTGCTTTGCTGGTGTGGCCCTTTGAGTTTGTATTGATTAGGTTTGTTTATATTAGATTTCTTCAAGTTTATTTTAATGATTGGATACAGTTAAAAGACAGTGTATCAGGGAAGATAGAAAAAAACAAATAATATTTCACAATTTAGAGAAGAGTATGTATTTTATGTGGTGCGATGTTATATTTACAATATAAAGTATTTGTATGACAGATTTTCTCTCTCAAAGTCTGTGATTTGAAGAGAGTCTAGATTATTTGAAGGAAAATATATGTGTTAGAATATAAATGAAATTTCAAGTATTACAAAGGTTCATGGAAAATATTCTAAAAAACAACATGATAGATTTAATGTATGTTTAGTATGTATCTCTGAATTAACATTTGTTGGTATTGATGGTCTTGATGTGAAGTTTAGAAGAAATGGTGCTTTTTAGGATAATTTACAGTTGAGAAAGAAAGGTAACTTTATGAAAGGGCCTTGGAACATGCTGATTTCACAGGTTGTGGTCTTCGATGGAACTATACAGAATACTACTATCACCCAGAACAAGAAGACTAGCATGAAATTCCTATGGACAAAAATCTGTGGGAAATAGCAGCCAAATTAAGCTTTGGAATCTGCGAAGAGAATATATTAACCTAAGAGTCTGTGCTTAAGACAGAATTTTGTTTTTCTAGGAAGGCAAATCATGTGGATTCTTTTAGACCCTACTCTGTCTGGAAACATGTGACCTTGGGCAAGTCAGGTAGTGGATCTACCCCAAATTCTAATGGGTAATTAGACAAGCTGATTGGGATATACACATCTGACCTACTTGCCCAGTGTCTTCAGTAAATGCAAGTTGTTTTATAATGGTCTGATTAAGATATCATTGAAAGAGTAGCTAGTACCGTGTAATGAAAAGAATACAGAGCTGGAGATCAAAAGAACAGAATTGTTTGACCTAGGGCTATGCGCCTCTTAATGTTTGGGTCTCAGTTATTTTTTTGTTTGTAAGAAACTGGTATTGAATACTTAAGCTCCATTTTTTTTTTTTTTTAATGCTAATAAATCTCTTTTTTCCCAGTGCTTCATTCTTTTGATTTTCTTTCTTGGTCATAGTTTTAGCTGGTCAGTTTTCTAAGGATGCAGTACATAGTGTTCTCTTTTTTTTTTTTTTTTTTTAAATTGCCTCTTGAGATAGAGGTAGATTCCTGTTGTTGCCACAACAGTTGACAAAGCAGTAGTAATACTCAGGCTGCATTACACAATGTTAGGTTGGCTCACTTATGCACAGAGGCTTGGCCTTTATGTTGACTGCTTCTACTTGAACATTCAGCATGTAACAGCATAGGGTTAACTGAGTTGTTAGAAGACTCAGATTTGAATGTTTTTTATGGATACTACACAAAATATGTCCCCCAAATCAGAAAAGATACATTGAATAACATCTGACATTATTATTCCCTAACAAGATCTTGTGTATTTAATTCTGTATCGCAATATGAGCTTTGCAGGTGATTTACATTTGTTCTATGTATTTGTTTTTTCCTTCATGCTTTTTGAACGTGAAAGGCCTTCATGGGGAACTGGGTGATGTGATCAAAGTTGTATTTCTATTAAACAATGTTTTATTCTTTCCATTTAATGTTACTTGCTCTTCTCTCTTGTGACCTAGAAATTGGTGACTGGCCTCTTCTTTTTTTTCATGAAACAGAATGGCTCATTCTATAAGTAATATCTGTTAATTTCTTTTCATAATATATATCTTTTATAAGTGTTTTTTTCCAGAGTTACTTATCCAGTCTTAGTTACACTAAAATATTGGTCAAGAGAATTTTAGTATTTTAACAGTTGGAAAGATCTTTTAAAAATATAAGTTAAAAATCATAAAGGACAACTATACATATATTTTTATATTTTATTTTGAAATGTTTATGAGCAAATGAACTGCTTATAAATACATATATGAGTAGGTATTGATATTTATAATAGTTTGATTTTTAAGTATGAGATTTTAAACTAAGCTTTTAAATTATAATTTATAAATTTTTGTCACATAGTTTCTGATTTGTAGGAAATGAACAATATTTATTGGAGTAGCACAATATACCAATTTTAAATCTTTGTTTTTATAGAAGGCTGTTTTGGCCTTGATATTCATGATTCCACAGAAAGTTCTCAGGCTATTGTTTTTGAATGATTTTCTTACTTTGCTCAGTATTTTTACTTTAAATGCTCATTATTACAGTGGAAAGTTTAAAAAAGGGGGCAGTGGCTGAATGTGTTTGTTATAATTTTGATTTTAAGCTGTCTTAATGACAGGAAACCAAAAAATTGCCAAACAACATAAAATTAATGTTTTTATAGAAAGGAAGAAGCAAGTACATAATATTTTTACTTTGACTTACTACTTTGGTCATATTAGAAAGCTATGGATTAGAAGAGGAAAAGAATGAGAGATGATTACCAAAACAAAAATCTATTTGCTTGTTGTTCATGTTCATATTTATCAAATACTATTAATAAGTCTCTAGAATTAGATGCTTTTAATTATTTCTTTCTTTATATTAGTAATTACGTAATCTATTTCCTTTGTCAGTGTTCTGTTATAGGAAATTTAAAAATGCTTATCTCCTATTAGTCTGTCTCTAGCACCTGGAATCATGCCTCATGTGTAGGTGGGCTCAATCAGTATGTTAAATAAGAATGCCTCAGAAGTTATCACTCTACAAAGGACAGTTATTTCTTTTAAATTTTTTTTCAAACTTCAAAATGAGCATTTAAAAACATATAAAAATAGAGAGTATAACGAACCTTTATACATCCATTACTCAGTTTCAAGTTTATACATGTCCAGTTTTATTTCCTCTATATAAGAGCTCCCTGTACCTTTCTCCCAGGTTATCTTGAAGCAATTCCTGTATATCATAATAGTTTTATCTGTAAATATATGTAAATATGCATATGTACATATCTCTAAAAGATAAGGACACATTTTTGTTGTTTTACTGTAACCCAGTACTATCATACCTAAAAATTAATAATTCTTTAATTAAATATCCAGTTAGTAGTCACACTTTTCCCATTGTATCATAAAGGATTTTGTTTTTTTATACAGTTGGTTTCCTTGAGTCAAGAGCTAAACAAGGTCCACATATTTGTTTTAATTGGTATATTTTCTAAGTCTCTTTTAATGTATGGTTTCTTTTTCTTTGTCCTTTCCCCCCCCTTTTAATTTATTTGATGAATAAAGTAGGTTACTTGTCTTACAGAATTTTTCACATTTTGCATTTTACTGACTGCATCTTTGTGGCTTCATTTAACATGTTTCTCTATCCTCTGGTTCTTGTGAGCTGGTGGTTAAATCCAGAGGCTTGATCAAACTTGAGTGTAATTTTTTTTGAAAGAATACTTTATAGATTATTGTACATTCTTTTGCATAATGTCAGGAAGCACATAGTATCTGGTTATCTCTCTGATGGTGGTCAGACTGATTACTAGTTCAAGTATTGTCAGGCTAATCCATCCATTGCACAGTTCCCTGCCAACTTTTCACCTAATGGTTTGAGTAGCCATTAATGATCATTGCTTAGATCCATCATTTTATTAGGTGTTGCAAAATAGTTTTATTCCAGTTTTATCACTTATTCACTTAGTGGTTGGACTTCTATGAAGAACCTATCAATTTTTTGTTTGTTTGTTTTCATGCAGTACAGTTTATGTAGAAAAGGCAGAATCAATGTGACTTTTCCTTTCTTACCAGTTTTCAGGTTGAGTTGGTTCCCTGGAATTTAAAATGACTGAATAGTTAGAAAAATGGTATTTAAAATAGGGTAGAACTCAGGGATAGAAAAATTGGAGAGGAATATTTCCTATTTAATCATTTGATATTGATCCCCTTTTATATTCTGTTCAGCTTGAGCACTATTATTTAAAAGTGAAATAATCCGTAGAAGCAGAAGAAGGCTCAGAGCAAAACACCCCAGTTTCTTAGATACAAATCTTTTATTTTTGAGGGTAGTGATTTTTTCCCCTTTTTACATGATCTTAAAATGTAATTAAATTAAAAAAAACAGAAATTTATTTTGCCTCAAGTAACTAAGACCACTCTGGCTTATTCTTTAAACAATTATTTGTGAAGCTTCCATTACCTGCAGAGGTGCTGCATAAGTAGTACATATATTAGACACAGACATTTTTTACTTTGGAAGTAAAGATTAGGATAAAGGCTAAAATCCTAAAATGTCCTACTCTCCTTTATGATCTGGCCCCTCTGCTTTTGACCTCTTATTATTCCACTCCCTTTCTTGGTCTGTGTCTGGCCACACTATCCTTTCTCTTTCTTGAATGTGCTGTGCTCCTTCCCACTACTGGGTCTTTATTTGTTTTTTTTTTTTTTTCCCTCTCACCATTTCTCTCGCCTTCCTAATTTTTCTCAATTTCACTTCTCAGTTTGAAACCCTTCTATTCTCTCTGAAGTTTTCCCTGAGCCCTTACTCTGGAATAGATTACTTTAGTATATACTTTCATAGACCTGTGTTCGTTCCTTTTCATAGAGCATTTATATAAGTTTGTTTTTATGTATTCAGTCATAGGATTATCTTGATCGTGGTCTGTTTTAGAAAATTGTAATTACCATGAAAATAGAGATGGTATTGTCTTAATTTTCCTTTATATCCCTGGCATCTGGTATAGTGCTTGGTACACAATAGATATTCAGTAAATAT